CCGTTCTCCGGCCTCCGGTTGTCTCCAGGGGCCTCAGTCGTCGTCCTGCACAGCTGCTGCGAACCCATGAAAGTATGGCCATGTCATGTGGAATTGGAGACGTCCTAGCCTCATTCTGAACAAGAGCCGCCATCAATCCGCGTGCCGATTGCACGGCTTTCAACTCTGAACCAAAATATATGAAAACTCTCACATAACTTCCCCGTTCAAATAACGGTTCCCCGAACGTACCGCTACTGAAGGTTGTAGAACAAGTGTGTGCGACGCAACGACGAGAGCAACAGTTTGAAAGCATTCGCAATTCGTCCCCGCATTTCTTATGGATGCGTCGCCTCAACGAACGTGCACGAGAACGAGAACCACAATTTGAAACAGATCCGCTCTTCATCCGGGTAACGGCTGGGGGATCACACACGGAGAAGAGGACGTCTCAAGCAAAACGCTCGGTCAACACTACCCGCAGATGCGTCTATGTGGACAAAGGAACTTAGTAGGTGGCACGTTGCTTGAGCGGGAAAAGACCCTCCCGGCATTTCTATAGTCCTACCACGAGATGTTCTTAGAACCCAAAAATGTTCTAAGAACAAAAACAAGGTTCTTAGAACAAGAGACCGATGTGAGAAAACAAGACAGCCCCCCGCCAGAAATGTTCTAAGAACAGTTCGTGGAAACCACAAAAGTTCTTAGAATATTGTTTCGTAGGGCTATAGGCACGCCAGGACGCTTTGCCACTGCTTGAGTTGCACAAGCTCCAAACCCAAAGACGTCGCCATCGCTGGGCGGGGCGAGTTCTGCTTCCGCGGCCGCCGCCGAGGAGAGGGCAGCTCCTCGCACCCTCGCCGGCGAGGCCCTGTCCTGGCACGCCCCGCCCTCCAGCCCGGAGCAGGGCTGGAGGACGTGGGGAGGGGCGCTGCACCAGGCTGGGCCCTCAAGCAGGAAAGCGTTTCTTTTGTTTATGTTCGGCGCAATGACGACAACGACGACGACGACGACGACGGCGACTGCGGACCAGATGCGGATTCTTACGCGGACACCTACGCGGATCCCAGCGCGCACCGCGGCAGTGCCTGGAGCGCACTGGGGGGGGGAGCGCTACGTCATAGGGGGGGGGGGGGAGCGGGGGCCATGACGCCCGTCATGCCCCAAGCAATAAAGAAATGGTCTCCAGGAGAACGACAAATGGCAGAAACATAAAAACTCGGAGGTCCGCGCGGATCTCCGAGTTCTTCCCCAAGCAGTGCTTGTACTGAAGGGGTCCGGGCGGGAAATTCAGAAATTTTGGCGAAAGCTTCTCCCCGATGTTGGTAGCCGGCTGGGTTCCCGGGTCCCGCTTCTGGGCCCCCGGGAATTCCTGCAAAAATTGGTTCCGGGCCGACCTCTGGGGGTTCCAGGTTCCCGGGTCCCCCGGCTTCCCAGTCGATCTCCTCATCGATCAAACCATCCACTGATTGTTTGCCTTCTCTGGTGTAATCCCAGAGATCCGATGTTGTGATTTTTTCAATATGGGGTCCCCAGAAGTCTCGACCCATTCCCCAGGACCGGTTTTTCATCCCGAGTCGTTTTTGACGGTCCCAGGGCCCGGCGAGGGCCCCCAGAGGCCAACAAACATAGAAAAACCTTCGTCTTGATTTTTTTCAAGCGTTGGATCTCTGGGATGATGTTTATGTCATTCGTCGTTCCCCTTGTCAAATGGCAGCCGGATGGCGTCGGGGCATCGCCGCCCGCCCCCGCCGAGCACCCGCGGGGGGGGGGCAGAGCGACGGGGCGGGGCGGGCCGACGCGGCGACAGAGGCTGGGCTTCGGGAGGCACGGGGGGCGGGAGAGGAGGGGCATGGGCGAGACGATGGGGGCCGGGGGAGGAGGATGAACACCTGGAGGAGGAGGAGGAGGAGGAGGGAGGAGGAGGGAGGAGGAGAGAGGAGAGGGGAAGGAGAAGGAGGAGGAGGCGGAGGAGGGGAAGGAGGACGAGAAGGAGGAGGAGGAGGATCGAGGAGGGCCGAGATCTGCGGACAAGAGGAGGAGGAGGAGGACCGAGGATCGTGCTCCCTCTGGTGAAGCAGGGAGAGCGGAACACGGAGCTCCGCTCCGCTCGGCACCCGCCCTGGGGCGCATGAGGTAAGGTCGCCAGGATGGCCGAGGATCTGGGAGGAGCATCGATCGAGGAGGAGCATCGAGGAGGAGGAGGAGGAGGAGGAGGAGGAGCATCGAGGAGGAGGGTCGAGGAACAGCATCGAGGAGGACGGGGAGGGACTGCAAGCCTTTGGGGGGACGAGGGGAGGAGGAGGAGGAGGAGGAGGAGGAGGAGGAGGAGGAGGAGGAGGAGGAGGAGGAGGAGGAGGATCGAGGAGGATCGAGGAGGAGGAGGAGGAGGAGGAGGAGGAGGAGGAGCATCGGAGCCTCGAGGAGGCGAGTCGAGGAGGAGGCTCTGGAAGCTCTGAGCCCCCGTCGGGGCTGCTCCGATGCCCTCTGGAGGCCTGCGGGTGGCCTGGGGGAATTTGACGACGGCTGGGGCGCCATGCCACCGTACCGAAATCGAGTAAAAGGGATGCCGCTAGTATCATTCCGACGACAAGCTTGAGCGGATCTGAGCCCCTTTACACACGCGTAGGAAGCGTTCGTGATGTGCCAAAGCCCTGTTGGAAGCATGGCAGTCCTTCAGCCTGGGGGGGTACTTCGTGCACCCTGCGGCTGCCTACATTGAGGCCAAGTTTGACGACGACAGAAGCGAAGGATGAATGATGAACAAGGGCGGTCAATGACGAGAGGACGAGGGAAAGAGGAATGAGACGAAACGCAATCCGCAATCGGTAACCCTTGTTCCCTGCGCCCCAACATCGGACAAGAAATACCACCGGCAACTGCTACACTCGCAGAACAGGTCGTGGGTGAAACTGGCCACGCCAATCCGTCATGGTCTAAAGTGTCAGCGCTGACGCGTGGCTGGATGTCACGACTTCTGTTTCGACTGAAACCTTTCATCGACGCAAGTGCCTTGTCTTCTGCCCCGTCTCCCAAGGAACCACTCTAGGAGAAAAGACAAGGCCATACATATAAACTGTTGGCGCTCCGCGCGGATTTCTTGGATCTGCGCTGGACCCACCTCCCTGGCGCGTGGAGCGCGCCAGGGGCGGCGCAAGAGGCGCCGCCGAGGGCCCCCAGCGCGGATCCAAGAAATCCGCGTGGAGCGCCACAAGTTGTTGCTTAGGCCGATTTCTCTTCCTCGCCTTTCCCCCTCCACACTCCCCCCGAATATCCTGCACTCCCTCCCTTGTCCAGTCCTGTTCCTGTACCCGCGTCGCCGCTACTTCTGCCGCTCCCTGCTCGCGGCGAGGAATTCTCCCCCCGGCGCCCTGGTTTCTCCGCCCCTTGGGGCCTCTGGCGGCCAGCTGCAGGACCCGCGGCGCTAACAGGAAGGGGCCCAGGGACACACAAATCAACAGACAGGAATCCGAGGGCTCCCAATCTTTTCACACACATCTTCTGGATTGTCGTATCCCCCCTTCACATCCACATGTTTCCCCATATGCTCATGGGGGCCGACGATTCGTTGTGTCTGTGTGCTTGGTTCCCTCCTGACAGCAGAGAGGCCCGCCCCGGGGAAGGAGTCACGAGGTCCAGAGGTGGCCTATGCTTATGTTGTTCCCATCGTGCTTAAAGACCACATTCCAGAACTAAGGTCGAGCAGCCGGAAAAGTGCCGACAAAAGTACCGAAACAGTGTCGAACGAGTGTCCCTCAGGGCCCGACACGTGAAAACCTTCAAGATTCGTATCCTTTTTTGTGCTCGAAATTCTTCCTGGTGATCGAGGCTAAAGTAGGTAGGAACATCCTAAGCCTGTGCTTGGAACAGGCCGAACCGACCGCCGCCTGCGTCCCCGTGCCGCCTCTCCTCATCCGCCCTCGGCCGCGCCCTTCCTCCCTCCGCCCCGACCCTGCAACGGGAAAGGACTGGAGGCCTGGAAATGGGCACCAACACCAACACAGGGTGGGGGGCCTCCACAGCGGGGGGGGATGATCCTAGATTTCGGTCTTGGTGGTAATACTTCGGTCACCTTGGAGGCCAGAATGCTGCCACCATCACCGAGATCAGGACATTCTGCCCTCGGTGGAGGCGCACCGCCGATCTTGGTGTTGGTGTCAACCTCGAGGCCTGCGAGAGGAGGAGGGTGCAGACACCAGCTGACGACGCCAACGTGGCCCTGGGAGGGACAGCGCGCCAGCGGCATCGGAGCTCACACCCTGTCTCGTCGCAACCCCGCTCCGCCCGAGGCCTTCCCCGAAGCCTCGGGAGGTGTCCGTCCGTCTCCAGGCGGCTGGGCGACCAAGAAGCCGGGGGGCCGAGAAGGGAGCAGGCGCATCGAGAGACAGGCATCCTCAGTCCTGGATTCTCCTCGTCCCATCGTCCATTCGTCTCTCTTCTAGCGGTCGTTAGTGCGTCTCCTTCCGCTGCCTCGATCTCCGCCGTCTCCTGCTCATCTGTGGCTACGTTCAGCTGCTCCCTCTTGCTTGTGGAGCTACATTCATGATATCTCGCATCGCATTGATGACTCCGTTGCAATCCGCCCTCCTCCTCCTCTTGACCCTGCCCAGCCCTGTACACATCTTGTTTCCGATTTTACGTATCTCTATCATATCTCCTTCTTGCCCGCCTCCCTGTCCTCCTCCCCCTCTTCTCTTCTCCCTGCTGCCTCACCGCTTCGCACGTATCTTGACGACACTCTTCGTTGTGACATCCAGGCGAACGTCATTCTCTTGTGTCTAGCGGCATCAAGGAAGTAGTCGGGAACGTAATGGTGGGGACCAGCCGCCGTCGACTGGTACATGTCTTATACAAAAGTCACAACTGTATTAAAGATGCACTGCAAATCTTGCACGACTTGCAGCGGCACGCAGAAGATGCCCACATCAATGTAACTCGACTGTTCTGGCACGGGTGTGGTACGCCCGCATTCGAAACCAGTAAGAAATGCGAATTGTTGGGTGGCACCTCCTGCGGAGTAGTCAGCTACTGAACTGGACAAGGCAGAACAGATCTGTGGATGGGAGGGTTGGAGGAAAAGGTCCCGCAGACCAAGAGGTGTAAGTGGGCTTTCAGGGAGGCGAGGAGGCAGCGAGCATGAGAGGGGTCCCCCCGCCAGAGAAGCATTCGCAGGCCCGACCAGAAACGCGAAAGCAAACACCCTGTGCTCCAAGCTCGGGGGTCGAGAAGGAGGAGGATGGAGGACCGCCATGAGTGAGCGAGTGAGGAGGATGGGAGGGACGAGATGATGAGGAAGACGTATGCGATCGCCTGAAACTGGGGGAGGAGGACGGGAGGATAGGGAGGAGAACCTGGGAGGAGAGACGAGGATGGGGAGGAGGATGAGCGGCACGAAGGGATGGGGAGGAGGCAGCTGGGCGCCGGGGCGTATATGCAAGATCGCTCTTGAACAAAAAAAAAACGGCCAGCGCCGACGGCGTCGGGCCCTCCGCCCCTTCCACGAAGGTTCGGTCAGGGACGTCCTCCTACAGGCGGATTTTGGAGGAAAAATGAAAAATACTACAAAAACATATTCCAAACATAGTCAGACATAGTAAAGACAATCGTACCCTGACTATTGTTTGACTACTTTTGAATATTCCTCCTGTAGAGGGCCGTGCCCGACTTAACGCTACCTCCAGACCCACCTCCCCCCAGCGTCAGGCCCTCCGCCCTTCCACGAACGTCAGGTCGGGCCTGCCCTCCTGCAGGCGGGTTTTGGAGGAAACCATAACGATGCTAAAAAAACGCCAAAAATAGCCCAAACATCATGTTTGTGATTGGTTCTAAAAAACAAACATAACCTAAACATCATGTTTGACTATGGTTGAATCTTCCTCCTGTAGAGGGACGTGCCCGACTGAACACGAAGGGTGGCCCATTGCCAACAGACAAGGGGCGAGCTGCAGAGTCGGCGGGAAGACGCCCCTCCCGAAAGACACACTGCTCCTCGGGCGCAGCTGAAAGCAGTGACATGCAACTTGATTTTCGGCGCGACCAGGCACCATCTCGAAGGATGATGCACAGGAGGAGAAGGATGAAGGGGCCCTGGGACACACAAATAACTAGACACAAATAACAAGATTCACCATATGTTCTTATATTTTCTGAGTTTTTGTCTTACCCTCCACTTCCCATAGTTCCCATATGTTTCCATATTTGGGAATCGACGATTCATTGTGTCCGTGTGTGTTTCCCGTCCTGAGAGGAGGTGGCGGACCACCGTACACCCAGGGTGCACCCACAGTGCTGCAATGCGTCCTGTCGTCCATGGCCCCGTCCCCCCACATTCAGGGGCAACGAATGGGAGCCTCCCGTACCATCTTGTCGGCTCCTGCGAATCGACGCGACTCGACGCTAAATCAATGCTGATCGACGCTGAATCGACGTGGACCGATGCTCAGCGACGCTAAACCGGCGCTATCTCATTGGCTCCCAGGCGCTAAACGACGCTAATCGGCGCGAAAGACGGATTAACGCGGGTATACAGGGCTCCCACGAAGGAGGAGGAGGAGGAGGAGGAGGAGGAGGAGGAGGAGGAGGAGGAGGGGCAGGAGCAGGAGGAGGAGGAGGAGGAGGAGGAGGAGGAGGAGGAAGAGAAGGGAGTGCATTCGCGGCAGGGCTGGGGGGCTGGGGGAGAGGACGGGAGAGTCGCCGCGAGCCAAACCACTCCCGGCCACGACGGCGCAGCAGAGCGCTGCCGCGGCTCGCGGAACGCAAGGACAACTGGCTCGGGAGAACAACACAGGCACACGAGCTGGCTGAGGAGGTCTGGGCTGCGCCGCGTTTGGTCTACAAGCGATGTATACGCTGGGAAACACACATAAACGTCAACTCCATGGACGTTAGTGGACGGTTTCCCCGGCGCTGACACGCCCTCCCCCCGCACCCCACTGGCGAGTTTCGCGGGCCAGTGTACGACGGCGCGGAGAAACCGCCACGCGGACCTTCGACAGTTAACGTTTATGCGTGTTTTGCTGTTCCCTGTTCCCGAACGCAGCAGAAACTGTACGTGCATCACACGATGCCTCGCAATGACCTCCACGGCTCATGCTGAAACTGCGTGCGAGACGCCCAGGAGATGAAGGCCGCTCAGGAAGGCGCACGTCGGGTGAACCACGACCATGATGACGGTTGAGATAACAAGGCAGAGAGTCCCCGTCACGGCTAGCGCCGCCAGGGCAGGCTGCTCGTCTGAGAACGTCCCCTGGGGATCCATTGTATAGTTCTGCGCAGCTTCGCCGATGGTATTCCACGCCTCCCTGGGAGAGGGCGGGGCGAATGAAGCAATGCTGGCATGCTCGCGTCCTCATCTGATCGACCCAACTCGGCGCAACACCCATGCGAGCAGGTGACAAGGATGACGCAGATCCGGATGCGGATACGGACGCGGACATAAAGAAGAAGGAGAGCGGGACAAAAACTATGCATCAGACTTAGATGGTGAAACAAAAAACACCGTCCATACCCGGATTTCCCAACTGAGGGGGTATCTCTTCTCCAGAAGATTGTTGACCGATGCTCCGTCCACGGAAGCTTGCGACGCGGCAGCGATTCCCCGTTATAAATTAGTAGATATGCGCAGTCCGCCGAAACCCGCTTGCCATGGGCGAGAGTCACGTGAAACATTTGCCTGTCCCCTTCCCCTTTTCCCCCGTCCCTGGGGTCCACAATGCCACTCCAGGGGGGAGGGGCGGCGTGCTCGTCAATGCACCCGGGGGCTCCAGAGCCCCCAAAAACTTTCTAAACAGCCCAACACGGCCCAGACAGAGCGCCAAGACAGTCGAAGAGAACGTCACGACGGCCCAGGGTCGCCCCACGTAGCCCCCAACACACAGCAAGAACGCCTCCAGCGGATCACCCACAAGGCCCCCAAAGGCCCAAATCATCCCATTCCCATAAAAAACGTGCGTTTTCAGCACGTTCGCATTGTATACGTTTTGTTTGACAGCGAACACGACGGCCCAAGAGTCCGGCAAGAGGTCCCAAAACGGCCCAGGACGCCTCCAAAAAAACTACAAAACGGCCCAAGAGGGCTCCCTCCCCTTGCCTCCTCCTCTCCTCCCCTCACCTTCCCTCCTTTTCTCTCCCGCCTCTCTCCCCTCCCCCCCCGCCCTACCTCGTCCCTCCTCCTCCTTCCAGTCTTCTCTCAGGGGTCCCTCGGCTAAGGGATCCCTTGTCGTCTCCCCCATTCCTCTCCGCGCGTTTCGTGCCGGTCTCGGTGCCATAGGCGCTTAGGCTCGAGTCCTGATTTGGTTCCGAGCCTCGGAAGGCGCGGCGGCATGGCAGAGTTGCTTATCATATTGGCCCTTGTCGTGGGTTTCGCAGTGGGTATGTTGGTAAGGAAATGTTGTGGCGCCAGGGCGCCCGTGGTGAAGCCGCCGCCCGAGCAACCCGAGATGGCCGAGGTGCTGCCACCCCCGAGCGTGTTCATGACCCCTACTTCGAAGACGGTGTACCACCTCTCCTAAGCATGCCAGCACATCGGGGATCACTCTACCATCGTGCGCGCGTGCACGGACTGCCTGCGCGAGAAGGCGTGCGAGGACTTGCACCAGCGCCAGAAGACGATGTGAGAGCGTTTCCGCCCGCTTCGTGAAGTGCGCAAATCAGTCCGGAGTTTATGACCAAAGTGCTTGCCGCGGGAGGGCGTCTCTTCCCTCCTCTTGATCCTGCGTCGCTCCTCGTCGGAGACCCCTCGGCTTAGGGGTCTCCGCCGTCTCGCCCTCTCCTCCCCTCCGCGTGCGGGTCATTGTCACGAGAACCCGCGAGGAGGGCATGCACCGCGTCCGATCCGTAGGCGTTTAGGCTCAGACACAACGATAGAAATTGCTTCGCGCACGTTCTATGTTGTCCAATCGCGCAAGAACCTACGATCCCAGCTCAGAACCGGCACGTGCGAGATTTAGGAGCAATGCGGGAGATCTCCTCACAAATAACGTCGTCAGCGGCAGGAGAGGCTCGGAACTTTTGAGAGATGCTGAAGCAGCGGGCGCTGCGGGCTTGCAGTTCGCTCGACGCAGTAGCGCTGAAAGCGCCGGGGCCACCATCGCACATGCAAGTCGGTTCACCAAACATTTCTTCACCAAGCGCACGGCGTGGCCGCCAGAATGACGAGCGCAAATCCGAGTGAGGAACAGAAGAAGTCAGTTTGGTGAGACGAAGTCTTGGATGTCCGTCTGGTTGCCGCACGAACTGCTGCGCACGCTGCATCACTTCGGGGACGCAGAGGTCATCGCGGATCGCAGGGGATTCGACCAGGTCAGCCTCGAGCACATGTAATCCGTCGACGGGCAGATGGATGGGGAAGCTTTTCCGATCGGTTTCTGGCAGGACGGCGCCCCTGTCAATTGGGATCGCAAAGTGAGCCTCGAGATCTTCACTATTAGTCTGCCAAGTCAGTCGGACGAGTGGGGGAACTTGCGTCTGCCTTTGACTGCCTTGTTGAAGCGCAAGATCGGCGAGCACACGATGGATGACATCTGCGACGTCATCGCCTGGAGTTTGCGTCGGTTGGGCGCGGGGGAACACCCGCCATCGCGTCATGACAACAAGGCATGGCGGAGCAGTGACACGAAGAGGAAGCGCACGGTGGGGCAGGCGCTCCCTTGCAAGGCGGCGCTGGCGCAAATGCGCAGAGATTGGAAAATGTTCAAAGAACTATTCAAACCACCCCACTGGGGCGAGAAGGAGGGCCGTCGCTATCGGTGCTGGGTGAAACCAAAGGAAATCGCATATCAGGTGGGCCTCTCAGCGCCCTCGCGGCAGAATCGGAAATCGTGGGGCGACGTCGTCGGCTGCATCTTGCGCAGCCCCCCGTTCCAGGCGCCGTACGTGAGCTTGCGCGTCATCAGGATCGATTGGCTCCATCGCGCCCTCGCGTCGGCGATGAAGGTTTAGGAAAGAGATCGACATACGCGCGCGGTCGACGCGCGCGAAAGGCCCGCGTGGATTCGTGCGACGCGGATCGCGCGCTCCCAGCACGCGCGCAAGGGGCGGCCGAATGATTTTCGACATGCGGCGCGAAGGGCCCCTTCGATGACGAATTTGATGATTTCGATATGTCGCGCAATGGGCGGTTCGATGACAGAATTGGATGACGCTGTTGAATACCTGTGGTAATTTTAAAATCCCCAGGAGCCGACAAACAATTTGAAGAGCCACGCGTGTTATTTTTGTTCGGGGCAGTCGATTTTAAAGCCCGATCGACGAAACCTACTGACAAATTTCTGCATGCTGCGCGACGACGCGCGCGCAAAAAAATCGGCACGCGCGCGCGACGACGCGCGCGCGAGCACGCTGGTCCGCTTTCGCAATGAATTCTTGAAAACTGGTGGCTTTTGCTAAAAAGGGGTGCGCGCAAAGTCTGGCTGGGCAGAAGATGGGGGGGGGCGGGCTTGCCTGGAACGGTGCGATTTCATACGTACTATGGGCGTTGAGAAAAATCATTTGTCATTGCAACACAACAGACGGGGTCTCATGAAGTCGGAGGGGAGGTCGATCCTACGATTTTTTGAAAAGAGGGACATAACATGGTGCAGCCTATGCTGGGCGATTGATCTGCACAAGCGAACTATCACACCCCATGCTCTTGCAAACCTCCCACCCACCCAACCGCAACTTAGTTTGCAAAGCCCACGCGGAGAAGATTGCGAGGAGTGCTCCGTGTTGCCTGGTCATCTGTGCGGCCGCGCCAAGCCAAGCACGCGCGCAGCTGCCAGCTAAGTTGGCGCGACCGGCGCGGCCGCGGTGACGATGGTCGATGGGCGCATCCCAGCTGGCACTTCACTGCGAATCGGCGACTTGGGTGGGCACGGTATCATGGCAGCGTCGACGACGGCAGGCACAATCATGCTAGTAGCGATGATGGTGGCGATGTTGACGACGACGACGGCGCGGCCACGTGCGGGCGCCGATGCTGATCACGCCAACGACGATGACCGCGTCCTCGCGTCGGTGAAGGTGTGGGAAATAGTTCGACATGCGCGCGTGGCCGACGAGGGAGTGGCCCGCATGTAATCATTTGACACGGATCGTGCCCCCCAGCACGCGCGCAAGGGCCCGCAAATAATGTCCGCATGCGGTGCCAGAGGCCCGTTTGGCACAAGCCACTGAACATGTTGAGAAGCCTACGGTTGTCTTAGGAATTCGACAGAGCGCGGGCGCATGCTCTTATAAATAACTTATGTTACGAAACCATGTGGTTTTGTATGTTGTGATGGTCACTCGGTGGTGACATCGCTACGGAAACAAAGTTGTCAACGGATTTCGGCACGCGCGCGCGACGACGCCAGCGAGGGCACTTCGTCCCATGGTTTGAGAAGGATTCTCGCGAGGGCACGCGCGCAAGGGCGTTCGAACGATTTCGACACGCGCGCGCGAGAAGCCCATTGGGTAGCAATTTCTGACAATGATGAATGACGGGTGGTTTCCTCAAGGATCCGCAAACGAGCGCGCGCAATTTGTTGTTGTCAACCCTAGTTGCGATGTCCGGTGTTTTATATGTTTGTTTGGGCATTCGTTTCAACATTTTTGACGAAACCTAAGGGTTGTTTGAAGGATTGCGGCATGCGCTCGCGACGACGCGCGCGTGTGCACTTCGCCTTGTCTTTGCTTTTCGCACATGGCTTCTGAAACATGATGATTTGCGGGGTGGCGGATGCCGGCTCGGCTGCGGTGGTGTGGACTTATACCTTGGATGGACGATGGGGCAGATTCAAATGTAAATTGCAATCCGAAAGCGGGGGCCGATCATCCCCGGGGGTAGGGTCTATTCTCCAGTGAGAAAAAGGAACATATATATATATGGTACAACAAAGGGTGATACTTGCATCGCAACCGATTGCAATCGATTGCAATGCAACGTGGGGGGGTGCATAGAGGCGACGGCGACAAGCGGCGACGGCGGCAACAGAAACAGCGGCGACGGGCAACGGCGACGGGAGGCGACGGTGGCAACAAGAGCGGCGACCGACACCCAGGCCCAGAAGCAACGGCGACGGACGGCGGCGAATGGCGGCGACGGCGGCAACACATCCGCCAGACCAACACCAAGACCCTGTTCCTGGAAACAAGGGTAACAACCCCTAAATGCAGACACTGTTTTGGGAATGTTTTTTTTTCTTCTCCGACGCGCGCGCAGAACCAAGCGCCTCGGCGGCGCCGTACCCAGCTCAGGCGTGTGCACCTAATCAGGGGTGGGGGGGGGGGGACCGCCACGCACGACCCGCACAGGGGAATGCAGGACTGCGCGCGTGGCGGGCAGCTGCCTCCGCAAGCGTCCTTGGCAGTTAACCGCATGACGGGGCGAGGCCACCCGGGGCCCAGGCAATGCGGCTCGCCCCCGTAGCGGCAAGCTGAACAATTGCCAGCCTTGTTGGGGGAATGGAGCAAGTTCCCCTCCTCCTCCCCCTCCTCCTGCTCCTCCTTCTCCTCCTCCTCCTGCCCCTCCTCCTCCTCCTCCTCCTCCTCCTCCTCCTCCTCCTCCTCCTCCCCCTCCTCCCCCTCTTCCTCTTCCTCCTCGTCCTCGTCCTCGTCCACAACGATCACGGATACGAGAAACGCGTATACGCAAAAGCGCTGCTCGACGCTGCGGCCGCGCGCGCAGCGCAGCGCAGCGCAAAAGGTCGGCGACGAGACGCGCGCGGACGGCCCAGGTCACGCGCCGTGGGTATACGCGCACGCGCCGTCGCTCTACGAAGGGAGAGATCCCGCTCCTCCTCCTCCTCCTCCTCCTCCCTTCCTCTTCCTCCTCCTCCTCCCTTCCTCTTCCTCCTCCTCCTCCTCCTGCTCCTCCTCCCTCCCTCCCTCCCTCCCTCCCTCCTCCTCCTCCTCCTCCTCCGGGAGAGAGAGAGAGAGAGAGAGCGAGAGAGAGAGAGAAGGAAACAACAACAATGAAGGAAAACATACATACAGGCACTGAGAGAGAAGGAGAGACATGTAACCCATAGAACTAAACACGTCACTGAGACAGTAACAAAGAAAGAGAGAGAGAGAGAGCGAGCCCACACACAAACGAAAACGTCCTGACACACCGCCGACCGCACGTTCCGGTACAGGGAGGCGGCCGCCAGAGAGATGCAGCCGAGGTCGGCCGTGGCAAGCACGTGTCCGTACGAGAGATGGTCCTCGCCCATCCCCTTCCCCCTCGTTCCCGTCTGCCTCCATCTTCGGTCATCCTCCTCGGCATCCTCAACTGAAGGGGCCTTGGGATATACAAGTAAGTGCACACGAATAAACATATCCCCCGTACTTTCATACTTACATATGTATATATGTCTGAGGTTTCGTCTTCCCCCAACTTCCCATAGTTTCTAATATTTTCTGGGGAATCGACGGTTAATTGTGCCTGTGTGTTTTTTCCCTCCTGATCAACGGCCGTCAGCCGTCAGCCTACCCTTCCTCATCCGGCTATTCTTACCCTTTTCCCCGCCTGTCCTCCTCGCTCCTGTTCCCCTCTCTCCCCAGCGCGCTCCCCCTCGGCCCCTCTCCACTTCTCACCCCCAACCCCTTCTCCCGCCTTTTCCTCCTCTGCCCCTCCCCCTCCTCTGCGACAGCTGTCCTCCTCCCCCGCCATCTACCCAGTTGTCGTTCTCACTCTACACCCCAATCACGCCCGTAGTCTTCCAATTCTCCTCAGAACCCTTTTGCCCCAGATCCAATGGCCACCACCATACCTCGGGGGCGGCCAAGAGGGGGGCGTCCAGGAGGGAGGGGTGCAAATCATAGCCGGCGGTATGTGCGCGGCCCATGGGGAGGGCCAGATATCATGACCACCGCCATGATATCCCCCCCCTAGTCATCACCGAGTACCGTCTGCAATGAGAGGAGTGTTATCAGGCTCCGCCGTATCTCTGAACTGGCAATTGTCCACGCGCTACCCGGTCACAGACACTGAGTGGAGTGTCCCAAGGCCCCTCCCACTTGTGTATTGACAAAAACAAGCATTCTCGGGTGCCCAGACTCCCCGTTCTGGGCGGTTCTGGGCGCTCGTTGTTTCCCTCGCGTGAATTTCCCAGGGGCCTCGGGAGCGTGGTTTTGGAACCCACATTTCCAACATGGCCTAAAATGGTTCCAGGTCTCGTCCTGAAGCCCTCCTGAAGGGGATGCAACAAGAGGCCCTGAATCTGAGCACGCGAAACCCGGAAGAAGAAGAGGACTGAACCAGAAAAAGAGAGGGCGAACCACGGAACCGAAAACTGTGACCTTCAAGGATGAAACTGCACGAATAGAAGAAGAGGATGAGGATCAGGAGGACGAGCAGGATAACGGGGAGAAGGAAGAGCGAGCGACTGAAAAGGACGAGGAGGAGGAGGGGGAACACAAAAGCGGGCAACGTCCCCCAAATCGCGCACCTCCTCCTCCTCCTCCTCCTCCTCCGTTTCGACTCGCGGTCGTCCTGCATGTCCACCTTCCCCTTCTCCATCTCGTCCCCTTTGTCGCCTAACGTTTCCTGTTCCTCCTCCTCCTCGCACGCAGCTCGCCATGTCCTCTTCCTCCTCCTACTCTTAGGCCGGGCGTGTCCCCCTACAGGCGGATTTTGGACAGAAATAAGAGATAATCAAATCATGCTCAATCATGGTGGAAGCCATAAGAAACAAACAAACATCCCCAGCCTATGTGTTGACATGTTCTTTTATTCATCCTGTAAGGAAGGGCATGCCCGATTTACTCCTACTCCCCTCCATTCGTCTCCGTGGCCGGTCAGGGCCCAGAGTTGTTCAGATGGAAGCCTTGCACCTCTGTGCTGGCGCTTCCCCGAAACCTTCATCACATGTCCTTTGCAGACGTACCCTGGAATTTTGGAATTCGGTCGGGCATTTCCCTCTTTAGGCTGATTTAGAGCGACAGTTTTAAACAACCCAGCAAAAGGTCAAGCATGATCACTAATAGTAAAGACACATCGTCCCCAGACTGTTTTTTGTACTGTTGTTGCCAGTTCCTCCTGTAGAGGGACGTGCCCGACTCATCCTTGGAACGCAGGGCGCATACACTGAAAGCAACAAGTACGAGGGGGAACAGGCCACAGCACCGATGTTGGTGGAACGTACGGGCTGTACCAAAGCGTGTCGCGCAAAGGCCCTGGGCATGAAATCGCCACTCGCAGAAACAGAGAACGGCATAAACACAAGCTTTTGACGGTCCGCGCCGACGTCTTGGATCTGCGCTGGCCCCCCTCCCTGGCCAGCGGAGCGCGCCAAGGGCGGCGAGGGAGGCGCCGCCGAGGGGGGCCCAGGCGCCGATCCAAGAAATCCGCGCGGAGCACCTACCATTTATGTCTGTGGCGTGTTCTCTCTTCTTCGGTTACTGGAAGGGCCAAGCAGCCGTCGATGCTTCACTCAGCAACGTGCGCTGGGCCTGCAGGCCCAGGGGTGTGGTCAACCAGAAGGCGGCCCGCGACGAGCATCCCCGAGATGTCCATGGCGCGGCGCGCCTCCTCCTGCTGTTCCTCCTCCGTTTCCTCCTCCTCCTCATCCTCCTCCTCTTTCTTCTCCCCCTCCCCCTACCATTCCTCCTCCTCCTCCTCATCCTCCTCTTCCTCCTTTTCCTCCTCCTCCTCCTCCTCTGCCTCCCCTTCCCCCCTCCTTTTCCTCCTCCCCTTCGCGGGTAGGACTCAATTTTTGGAGGATGGGCATCCTCCAAAATATGAGTCCCATCCGAGAAGTGGTTTAGCTACCGTATGCTGTGGCGGATGTGGGCCGCAAGCGCATCTGCATCGGAGACGAGGGCGCCTGCGCGCGACCATGATTACGCGGACAAGTCACGCGTCAATGCGCCCGTTTCCCTTCGTCGCGCCAACGCAGACTTCGAAACATATCCACCTGTCTTCCTGACTACCTACCAAACCTCCCAACCCAACCCGAAGACCAGAATTTGTCCCGACTTTCGGCCTGGGGGGTACTTTTTGTATTTTTGTTTTTAATGTTTTCTCTTCATGTTCCCCGACCCCCGACCCACTGAAAATGGAGGGCAAATCGGGGCCTTCGGGCTGGTTTGGGATGGTTTGGTAGGTGGTGACGTTTCCCTTCGTCGCGCAAACGCAGGTTTCGAAATATATCCACCTTCCATGGTAGCTGTTGAATGATTGGAACAGTGCGCGCTGGGCGAGACCGAAGCGTTGGAACACCGACCGCCCTTCACTGATGTATTTGCTAGACACACTTCGAACGGAACGCACGAGGCGCTCAAGCGAGAGCCGGAATTATTCATGTAGACAAGCCCCTAACACTAAGAGCCAGACTTGAGCGCGCATTAACTCGGAGCGCGCCTGTAGTAAAACTGTCGTGCATTCATCATTGGGGGGTGGGCGGGGATAGAGCGACAACCGTGAGACTATACAAAACGTGAATATCCGACGCACTGCCGAAATCAAGGACGATGCTGCGAGCAGGCTCGAGAGGAGGGGGCGCCCTCCGAAACAAGTATTCACGCGGCAATCCGCCCATCGAAGGGGGCCACAACTGCACCAGGTGCCTGAAAGACCCTAGCGCTGACGGTCGGGACCTCCAAAACGGATACCGAAATCCAGTCCGCAGCCGTGAGAAAGAGCAGCACGCGCGCGGGTGGCTGGGATAGGGGGTATACGGTGCCGCTCAAAAACCCGTAATTTTCATACAAAGAAGAAAGCAACCTGCTTTACCCTGATCTATCTTCTGCGATGTTAGTACCGAGGAAACGCGAGGAGGACAGAAGGGCGCGCGCGCCCTGCCCCCAAGGCTCCAGCGGCCAACAGCACGGATGATCTAAGGGGTGCCGCCTCGCTTTGGCCAGAAACGGTGCGCGGGTGGGCGGGGGGCGAGTTGCTTTCGCAGTGCCCGCTATACCCACCCCCTCGCGGATGGGCCCGCAGCTCAACTGCCCCCCAATGGACGAAACCGGAAGGAGGGATGATCAATGTTCAACGGCGCTTTGCCTTTGAGCGCCCTGCAGTGGATGGCCTGCTCGTCGCGTCTGTTCTGCTGTCGGCCATGCTGTCAATCGCCACCAAGTCGACAGCGTCGCGCGTGACTGACTCGAGACGGCTGGTCAACTCGCTTGCCAGCGCTGTGCCACGAACGCCCGAGCGGCGGATCGCATGGCAAATCGGCGCAAAAAAACTGGCCTCGCCAAAAGGCTCCCCCGAGCCCAAGCTGAGCGCCAGTCAGGCGGCTCCGCTGTTCAAGCAGCACATGCATCTGCGCATACCGCTGACGCGCTGACGTGGTCTGCCAGCACCCCTTTCGACGAGCGGCCTTCAGGGGACCTCCGGCTGCTATGTGGGCTGCCGCTCCAGCGTGCCTCAGAAAGTCCGGTGGCCCAAAATCGGCAAACCCCGCCCAGTCGAAAGCCCGGCCCCATGCTCTACGGCACGCGTCCCGAGAGATGGGAAACATAAGCTCTCCAGGCGCCGCTCCCCGGCCAAGAGCCGCGAGCGCCGCCTTGGTCGGTGCCCAAGAGACCACTGCTCCCTGGTTTGCTCCAGTCTTGACTTTCTCGCCACGCTCTCGCCTGCCCAGGGTGAGCACTTCCCCATGCGTTTGAGACCCAGAAGAGCCCCCAATCCTGCTCGCGCAGCCGGCCGTCGAGCTGCGGCAGCACCGCTGAGCCCTCGCGCAGCTGCCCGTTCCGACAGAGGTCGTAGATCACGAAGCCCACCGCCTCGAACGGCACTGGGGGCCTCTCCCGATGGAAGCCCATCTTCGACCAAGCCCTGAGCGCACTAGACGCCACTGGCAGTCGGTTGCGATGGTCCTCAAAGACGTGCATGAAATGGTTGAACAAGACTGAGGCCCTCCCAAACAAGATCTGCATGACGTAGTACATGTCCGAGATGTATCCTGCCAAGGCGAGATCTCGCAGCTCGCGCGTAGCAAAAGACAACCCGCGCATCTTGACGTTGACCAGGAAAGCCCGCACCTCCTTCTCGTGGATCTTGTCCGTTGCATCGTCGACCGCATGGGCCACCAGCCTCGCATTGCGCTCCAGCTTGTCACGCCCCCCCCCCCCCCTCCACGCAAGAAGCCCCCGCATCGCCGAAGGCGGGGTCTGGTGGGAGGCCCCTGGCAGCGAGGCGTCGCGTCACATGGCCTCCAGCAGCCGCAAGCGATTGCAAATGCGAGGTCCCGCGTAGTCCCTGCCGCTCTCGTTC